ATCTTAGTTTTAATAGATATGTCCCTTTAAAGAAGAGATTTCTAACATCCTTCAGTGAATGTCAAGGTATTAGGAAGACATGATTATGGATGACCTGATGTCAGCACAGTGTTAAAAAGAAAAGATATGAAACCTTATTTTTAGATATAAGTATGGAGCAGCCTAAATAGAGAGAGGGATGAAGTGAGTGACAGGAACAGTCTCACGGATTACTACTTTGGTATGAAGATTCTAGTATTCAGCTAGCTTGCTAAATAAATGGACTAACGAAAAAGAAAGTCAACAGATTAACTTCAGGAATTAAGCCTGTTAATGGATTTTCATGCAGAAATGAATCCACCCATCATGATAGGGAAAGGCTTTCCCAGCTGCAAGATTAAGCATTAAAATGTTTCTACATAAACTGCAGATGGGATGTAGACTTTTTTTTTCTTTTTAAATGACTGTTCATTGACCTGAGGCAATGCTGTACTATACCCCTTCATTTTGGGCTAATTTATATTTGTACCAGAACAAGTTGTTAGATTTAATCATGAACTGAATATATTTGAATAGAGATTGTTCATCTTCACAGTCTTCTCTCCTTTTTTTCTCTTATTTATAGCTAAATTTCACTGTTCCATCCATAATTTAAGAACATGCAAGGAGGTAATTGGAATTGGAGGTAAATTATATTCTTTTGTGAAAAGTATAATTATCGGAAGTTAGTTAAAAACACCTCAATTCTCTTTAATTTTCATGCATGGAGCAGTTGTTTTGACAGATGGATGGACTTTATTTTTGTAACTGTGCGGGAAAGACTGTGTAACAGAGTCTAATCAGTGCTACATATTTGTAATGTTTGTTTTTGAATCACTGTGCATTTGGCTCCTATATCATTTTCTGGGAGTAGACATTTTCTTTCTAATTTTTCCAGGCTAATATCTCTATGTGTAATTCCTCTGAAATTACACATTTGATCCGAAAGGACTGGAAATCCTAAAAAAAAATAAGTGCAAATGGTTTGTCACTGAGGATGATGAATCATTACTCTTCAGGTGTGGCCCTGGGGTTTACTGGTTTATGACTGCCTTTACTTTTACTTCTAGGCTAAGTTAACAATTTATAATGCTGAGGGTCTGGAGTACATTTCAGTAAAATAAGAGGTCAGTATGGTTGCCTGACTCTCAAAAAGCCAAGTTGTTGCTAAACTTGTCTGTGTGTATCAACTTAAATTCCAAAAAGGAGCAAGGTTTGAAAATGAATTCATTTTGAACTGATTACATTCCCTTTATTACGTTGTAAATCCGCCAGTGCTGAGCAAAGCAGTGCAGTAGTCTAATGCCAAAAAGTACATTACATTCTGAGTTTTAAGAATCGTCATGGTTCAAGGAAAGGTCAGAAACACGCTTCTTCTGTCTCCCTAGAGCAGAAATGTGTGAAGTGTGTTTCCTTTTTCTGCCACGCTTCCTTCTTTATAATGGAATGTCCAGGCTGCTTCCAAAGAAAGTGAATATCCTGTTGTGGAACACTCCACAACCTTGGCAGCAAGAAGCTAGGGAAAGAAGGCAAATGAATGACAGGATCGACACTCTTTTATGTAGGTTTTCTGTTTAAAGAACAAATCCTGACCAACAATGTTTCTATCAAGTTTTGGGAGCCTGTTCTTTTTCTGTCCAGTTCTTTTAATTCATTGTTTCCACTCCATTATTGTTGATGAGTTCCCTTGAAGCTATTTTTGGCCAACTTTGAAAGTATTTAATTAATTTTCTTTGTTTCAGTTCAGTCTTCGCACACTGGAAACCCAGGAAATTTCTCTCCATTTTATTTGCCTCAACCTTCACTTCAAAATAATATTGAACTAGCCCCTGGGCATGGCAACAATACAACCTGCTGCCAACTGGGAGAGTTCAGTGGGGAAATGAAAGGGATCCTTCCAGGCCTAAGGCCAGTAGGGTGGGTCTAGTTGCTTTCTAGCACAGATAGACTCCTTATCAGCATACTCCCTGGTGAGAATGGTGTGAAACATGTGCCAGATTTCACAGCCCTGGTTCTGCCATTGATTTTTTTTTTCTTCAGCTGCTCTGTAGAGGAATAGTTGTCACATTATAGAAGTTCTTCTTTGACAGTTAATAGGGAACAAATTGAAATTATTATATTCAGTGTAGCTCTATTCCATCCTTTTTAAGAACCCTAAGAGTTCTTCAATCATTACTTTTTGCTAATCAGTTACATAATCTATAAGAGATAAGAACCAACAAATTCTATGATTTTAGAATTCATAACGGTTACAGAGGTGACATGGACCATGTGTGTTCACAAATATCTGTGCTTGGACGGAATTTCCTCCCTTTTATTTTTTATTGTGAAGAATGAGTCTATTCTATTTCTCAGATGCACTTAGGTACTACTAATGGGATTAGAGAACTTGGTTTTGTATTCGGAATTGCATGAAACTTTAAAGACATGGCAGAGAAACTGAAATCCTGTTCTTTTCTAAAATGAGCAAGACATCCATCTGGGACTACCACTATTATTTATTAGAATATTCGTTTTCTTACCAATATATACACAGCCAATTTTTTTGGTTTCAACATACGGTGATGGAGCTGGTCATTTATAATCTTGAATACTGAGCCACAATCAGGGATGGCTATCTCTTTATGTAAAAGCAGAGTGTGTGGCCACATACATGTTTCCAAGAAAGGGATACAATAAAGCATTTTCCTGAAAATGAGTTCTTCGCAAATGACTGCATTTTCTTTAAAATACTGAAAAATCCTTTGGGTAAGACTCATGAACGCTTCATTTGTAAATGAGTTTATCAGCTATTTCCCTCTCCACAACCTTGTTCCCTGCCCAAGCTTTCATGCCCTATTCTCTTGGGGAGAGATGAGAACTGTTACAGAACAGGGAGTTTGTTGCTAAGAGTCTTGGAAGTTGTTATATCTGCTTCACAGCTTTGCCTAAGATGTACTATGTTCAAAGTGAAACATGGCTGAGATCCATGTACCCTTTATGCTAGGAAATGTTTCTTCATAGCAACTTGAAAAATCCGTTGGTTTCAGAGCTTAATTTTATGTTTTCATGTATGACCAGACAAAAGTAAAATTCAGGATCGAAGTAGCAAAAACAGTGGGAGAAATTCGATGTTTATTGTAGTTACTCTCCTAAACTACTCAGCCTATGTTAAGAAAGCATGAGGAGTCCTAACTTGAAAGTTACATATTTTACTTTAGATAGCTCTAATTCAGTTTTAGGACAATATATTTATAAGACATCCTTAGGTTTCATCCTAGAAAAATCTGTGCTGATGGGAAGCAATTATTTGAATTTAAATATCAATTATTCTGTTCATTTGGTTGTCTGTTCCTGTTTCTTTTATGGAGACAATAGAGTTAAGACCAAATCATTAGCTGCAAGCGCAGAATACAGATGTCGTGTGGAAATGTACTTAAGTTATTGTAACACCTCAGTTATAAATTCCCACTGACTACACAAGGCCCAGTGCATTCTGAGCTCTCACTTTGTAAGCCTCATGTCACAGAGAGTGACTTTTGGAGTGTTCCAGTGCTAGGACCAACCCAGTCTCTATAATGCTTCCCAACTTGTTTGTACTATAGTCTGCTTTTGCGCTTCGCCTGCACTTTAGTTACATATTTGGGTCTTAATTCCAAATCTTTATAGGCAAAAACGCAAAACTAATTAAGAAAGTGTATGATCAATAACAGAGTACTTTTTAGTGCTGTTTTAACACATACGCATTTGTATATTTTTAAATGGATGTTATATATTCTATGATGAACTCATATTTTTCTAAAATTTTCCATTTCTAGGATTTGTGACTTGATAGTAGACCATAACATTTTTAAGCTATTTTTGAGTTTGAGTTTTCTTTTTACAGTATTGATATAGTTCATCTATTTAAAATATTTTGTTAAAATTGAGTCTTTCTTTCTCTGAACTGTTGGGACAATGAAATTATTCAACTTATATTATGAATATCCGCGATTTCCCTCAAATCTTTCCTCAACAGGGACAAAAGGCTAATATTCCTGTTTGCTCATAGAAAAGTATTTTCTTCCATAGGATTTACAGATAGAATACAATATATAGAAAGAATCTAAATAGTTTTATCCATTTTATTTCTTATCTGATATCTTATTCAAAAAATAACTTTCCAGGAATGTCTAAACTTCTATAAATAATGATAAAACATGACTAGAATTTACTCATCACTAATTGTCCCCTCCCCGCTCCGCCCCCCAGGGAAATCCATGACTCATTAGGCAGGGAGTTGCATGTATGGGTTCAGGATTCCATGAACTATCTGAAAGTACTTTGTAATTATACCTGCTCTACAAAACACCCGTTAGCCTATAGATACTCCAAACTCTAGCATCTTTATCTCACCTTAAATATGCCCAAATTGTCTTTGAGGCTGAAGTGACATTTGCAGGAGAAAGTGGTTCTAACTTCTTAGGGTCTATAGAGCTCATTAGCAAGCAGCATTCTGAAGTTCAAAGCCGACTGCCCATCATGATGGGTTACTATTGATATTAAACTTCACGTTTAAAAGAAGTGCATATTATCTTTACTTTTGTTTTCCTTTTCTAAAATTAAATTCAAAGCTGATTTTTTGCAAAAAAATCACCTTTGTATTATTTACCTAATTTATTGATTAATCAAATCATTTCGTTTGCTTCATTTCTAGAAAATGTACCTTTGATTGCAGACTGGTTAACTACATTTATTCTACTTTTGAATAAATAAATTACAAATGTTTTTATTAAAAGAGTTAGTACAAGAAAACATTTTATTTAGCGACACCCCCTACCCCCACAAGACTAAGAACTTCAATGTTTTCAGTTCATATAAAAATATGAGCAAACAATAGTATAATAAACCCTACTAATGCCGTGAAAAGGACACAAAAAACTGTTCAATCATACTCAGCACCTTAGAGGCTATCTCAGGCATGCTGCCTGCTAGAACTCACTGCTTTTCCTTTTGTCTTACAGAAAGAATGTGCGAATTTCATCAAGGTGCTTAAAGCTTACAATCAGACTCACTTGTACGCCTGTGGAACGGGGGCTTTTCATCCGATTTGCACCTACATTGAAATTGGACATCATCCTGAGGTAAAGCTGGCTTTTAAAAATTAGTGTTTGTCCATGACCCCTTCCTATTCAAATGCTTCATTACTGGTTTCTTCAGCTCATTTAACTTCTGGTTCATATTCAGTGAGACCTACTTCAAATGCAGATGCTGTTATTCATTTTAATCTGTGAATGCAAAAACAATGAGACCATCACTCAAGGCTAACGATGGAACAGGAGGAAGGAAGGAAGAAAGCACTTGCTTTCGCCCTGGATGACAGAGTCAAATCCATTTTGCATGTGTGGCAGATGTCAGCCGGCTGAGTGCACACTGTTTTCTCCTTCATTTTTTTATTGCCAGCTTTCCCCTCCATTTCCATCCTCAGTCAGAAGTGTCTGCCACCCCGGTTATTTTCTTCTGCCCAGGGATTATAAAAGAATGCCGTACTTGTGCACAATGATCTGCTCTCATGTTTGACCTCAATTATTTTCTTACGTGTTCTAGCTCAGCTAAGTGATATTTTTATATTGTTGGCTATTATATTGGTGATATGGAAAAAATCTTTAATATGTTTATGATTCCTAAAAGATGTTTTAGTGAGAAAATTTGGTGAGGAGATTAAAATGAGGTAAATTTAAGTAAAAATTAAAATTAGGGGAATATTTAAAGGAAAAGTTACTACTATTGAAAGTAGTTTCATGAATTGGGCTTACCAATATCCTTCAATTATAAGCCCCTTTATAACTTCTGGCTCAAAATCCTAAGAATAAACGCATTTATGCAGTGAGAAAATCATTTGTGACAAGAGTTTTCTTCCAAATTGGCATTCAGAAATACTTAACAAATAAAGGATTTGTTCCCAGGATATTTCTGGAACCCTAAAGATAAAATATAATTTACATGTTAGCCACTTCTTTATAACTTAAACTCCAGGATCTCCAAAATTTTTTTAAGATGTCCTAAAGTGATACAAATGTGTTCTTTCAACCCAAAGACTTAGAGATCAAAACAGTGTTGTAACGTGTGTGTGTGTGTGTGTGTGTGTGTGTGTTTTAATAAGACACCTTAGAGACTATGTGGTTTCTAGACTACGTACAATTATAATTATTATTACTTTCCTGTTGAGCCTGAGAAGATTAAACACTTTCTGCAGCTAAAACCAGTTTAGGCAATTGCCCCTCTATTTCCCCACCACATCCTTCCTCCTCTTCTCACAGGCATGTATACTGTACTTGCAACATACCTAAGAGGTTTTTTTAAATATATTTTTATTGATCTCAGAGAAGAAGGGAGAAGAGAGAGAGATAGAAACATCAATGATGAGAGAGAATCATTGACCGGCTGCCTCCTTCATGCTCCCCACTGGGAATTGAGTCAGCAACCATATGCCCTGACTGGGAATTGAACTGTGACCTCCTGGTTCATAGATCAGTGCTCAACCACTGAGCCATACTGGCCAGGACATACCCAAGAGTGTTAAGTAAAAAGTTAACTTTAAGGAAAGGCAGTTTTACTTAAATTGCTTGTTTCATATTGGTGAAATCAAGAATCATTTCCTGCACATAGTACTGGAGACTTGGTACACTCTCCTTCTTTGCCTGCTTAGCCATTTCCTATCATCAGGGGCCCTAGAAAACCGACTTGAGTGATTGCTCCACTCTTTTATACTCTGGAGATAGCTCTAGAGTATTCCCTAATATTATATTTTCTTTGTGCATCTGTATGCCAGGCATGGTGCTGTCAGAGCAATGGAGTCAGGAGAGCTGTGCTTCAATCACAGGTTAGATGGTGTCACATCTGGCTTTGATCTTGTTCTACAACGTCCTAGCTGTGGAACATTGGAAAATTACTTAACCTCTCTGAGACTCTGTCTCACAATGTGTAAAACAAAACTAAACAAATCCTCTTCGACCCTCAGTATTCATATATTTTAAGTGAGAGTTTGACTACTTAACCTCCAACTGCCTTCCAACCCTCCTAGCAACCCATTGACATTTTTGCTATAGAAACTCAAGGAGTTCTAATCCCATCATTGTTCAAAGCATGCCCTCTGACCTCAGACTGCAGGACTTTTGTCCAATCTCAATTCAATACTAGATGCTTGAAATAGAGCATGCTACTTATTTTTTCTGTCTCTGTTTCTAACCTAGAAAGTGATAGAGTTTTTATGAGAGTTTAATAGGTAGTAGGTGCTGAAAATATCAGTTACCATTTTGAAAATATATATTTGCATCTCAGGGCTGAAAGCCATTGCTCTCTTTCATGTTCGTATTTAAGTGTCACTTTGCCTCTTAAATGTACTTCACTTCATCAGAGGATGCAAAACACGGCACTGAGCTCTCATTGTTGCCAGGTGATTCTGCACTTGTCTCATTTTTCTACATTTTTAAATTTGAAGCTTAGATGACATTGATGACCTTAAATTAAAATACTACATATTGTTCCCCTATTTTTATCATTTTCCAAAAAAAATGTACATTTTGTTTTATGTTTGAAGTTGCTATTTAGTAGAGTTCACAGCATATTCCTTCTCAACTCATCAATTAATTATTCATTGCTGACTTACGGGTAGAGGGGGAATAGAAAGGTACAGGTTTTGGAGACAGGCCATTTACTCAGGCAAATGAGGCCATTTCTTTGACTGAAAACAATAAATAAAGATCCCATTAAATCTCCTTTGATGTGGAATATTGGGGTGCAAGGATTTTTCTGAAATTCTGAGGCTCAGAACCTTTAAGAGAGGTCTTCTCTGAGAAGCTCCACTGAGCTTCATTTCTATGGCAACTGTATATTGAGAAATACTGTTCCGGACTGTTTAGGAAGTCAGTGAAAAGATGATTATGCAATTACCTAGGGGATTTGGAGCCGTCTAGACAGTCTATCTAGGAAATTCTGGAAAAGAAATTATCAAGATAGTTTGACTAGATGACATGAAATTTAATTTTCAGTGCTTAAGCTTCCTTAAGAGAGAATCTGTTTTAAATTGATCTATACTGATACTGAGAACACTGCCCTTGGATTTACACAGTTATGCTATTTGGGGAGTTTGATAACAGAGACAATGCATGCTTCATACGGTTAGGAAAAGAATGAGGGTAATGGAAAGATTGGAAGAGAAAGGAACAAAATAGCAGTCAGACCAAGAGCAGAATTTTCAGATTAGAGTTCATAAACTTTCATGATGGTTGCATTTAGTAACTTTATTTACAAGGATGGTTTTTCAGATAAAAACATGACACATCTTTGTCCTAGAGTCTAGTTTAGAAGTAATATGTATACTTTGCTGTTACCTGCCCTACACTACAGAAAATAAGTAAATAGTTTCATTTATGCTCTGTCCAGCCCTTACATATTACAAATAATTTTATCATACAAAATAATGACATTTTTGTTTTTTGCTTTTAGCATGGATTTTATGGACACTTTACTTTCATTTTTTCTTTGCAGTGTTCTTCCTTTAAAATAACTCATTGTCTTACATGAGTTCCCAGGGTTATTGAAACCTGTTGTTAGAAAATGACATGATGGGCTTACTAATTCAGATGACCAATGGCCACCAAAATAAAGGCATCAATTTTGAAGTAAATAAAGCTTCTATTTATCACTTAAGAGCTTCAGATCTTGTTGGAGGAAATTAACAATTCCTTTTAAAAATGGCAAACAGTTTGCAAAATAGCCTCCTCATTTACGCCCTAGTTAAATAGATTTTATTTTATTCTCCTGGCATTTTAAGAGCAATATTTATACTTTTGAATATTGTATTTCAAAACTTACTTTACTGTCTAGTGAATGCCTTCTGACCACACACAGTATGTCATTGATTGCTGTATTAAAGAGATTTTCTGTTTCCTGTAGTACCTTTGGGGATTGATAGACATATTAATTAACTCCAGTCCTATAAGATGTGTGTCAATCCATTCTTGGGTATCTGCCAATAGTCGTAGACACTGCAGATAACTGCCGGTGAGGACACATACTTCATACACACATATGTGTTTATCATAAAAATGCATGCAGAGTCCATGGAAGGAATGATTCAGAGCTAGAGTACAGATGAGTTTTATGTTTAAGCTGTTAGCATCCATGCCACTCAAGTGAAAAATGTAAGTCATCCTTAAGAGACAGAATATTCCCACATGGCTTATGGTATATGTTATTTCCCCTTCAAACTTACATCTGTTAAGAAATTGTACGTGTATAGCTTTTCAGAGAAGTCTCTGGATGTTTTCTCAAATTCCAAATGAGCCTCTTTTATGTACTGAGCAGGAAATCTAAGGAAAGATGGACCCAGATGAGAGCTGGAAAATATTAACTTTATAAATACTCTCATAATGCCATGATCTCAATTTATGATAGAAACAAAGGAACATTAAGAAATGCAGTGAAGCTTAATAGCTATCTATAAGGTTATTTCTACAATGACAGCCAATATGTAGATATAAAAAACAATGTTTGCTAGGGTCTCCCCTTCCACCAAGAATAAGAGTTTGCTTTAATGCAAAACTTTAAATCAAATGCTCTTAGTAACAGTCCTCATGACCTAAGTGCCATTTAAGTCAATACTTGTCTTTCTCTGACTGGCTTATTTCACTTAGCATTAAACTCTTCAGGTCCTTCCTGGCTGTCTCAAAGGGTAAGGTCCTTATTTCTGACAATAAGAAAAGAAATCACTATTGTTCTGGGATATTGAGAAGGTAAATGTGAAGTCACAGCTTTGTTTGTATCTAACTCTGTACTGTCTGCTTCAGATTCATGCATTTCTAATGAAAGCACTTACACTTTTCATGTGGGAAGGACCTATCCTTATAAATCTTAAACAGTCTCACTGCGAAAGCCTACATATGCCATTATAGAAAGCCATGAAGATATATCATTATGTAAGTTGCTAAGATGTGTTTTGACTGCACCAACTATAAATAAAAGAGAAAGTACATGTAGGGAATAAAAAGAGAGATCAAGGGGTGCAGTGGAGAGCAATCGGGGTTGTCAATTGCAGGCTTATAGAGGTAAGACTGGACCTCAGCATTATATGAGGAGTCCA